TTTTTTGCTATAGGGCGCGTGCGCTCGCCAGACAGACAGAGAGAGACAGAGAGACAGAAAGCAAGAAATCACCCCAGCGGGGTACGGTCACGCCGCAATCCCTTCTCCTCCATTCTCCTCTCAGGATCTTGGGCACGCACGCACACACGCCTGGCGTGAGTTTAAGCCACTGGGTCTGGGACTCGAACCGCGGTCGACTACATGGGAGTCCAGCAACGTAGCCATTACACTCACTGCTGGTCCCAAGCCCAGCTATTTTCCAGGAAGATCCCAGGCAGGAGTGACTTGTCATCAGTCCCAATACCAGGTTTTAATCCCTAAAGCAAGTCAGGGAAACCTGACCTTTTCTCTTAACTTCTACATGTTCTCAACACTGCGTCCCTCCTTCCCCTGCAACAGGGCATGTCAGAAGTGTAAGTTTAATGAGTTTTTACCTAACTTATACAAGTATTTAAGGTCGGGCCCAAAGTTCCCTACCCCTGACTGGGTCCCAGACTGAACCATAGAGACTGCCCTGTGCCCCAGCAGCAAATCATACTTCCTGGATCTGTCCCTGAGTGAGAAAGTTCTCTGTCCCAATTCCAGTTCCAGAGGCCCCTACAAAACAAAGAGCAAGCTCCTCTCGATAATGGGATCCAAAGAAAGGGAGTTTTATCTTCCTAGAATATATTTTTCCCATTTCCCAAATAAACATAATCATAGGGCTATCCTCAGTTAATTAGTAGCTTATGCTGCTCTCTAAATGCTACCTCACACTTAAGCCTGTCGGTTATTCTATTACTTAGGTCGAGGTGGCCCAGATGAAGAACCAGCCATAAAAGCATTAGCAGAAGGTAACATCTACGACTATCAAAGGCAAGCTCTACAGATGCTCTAGTAAAAATCAAGGTCCCTGACTCTGCTAAGGATAGGCAAAGCGCTCCCTCTTGTGGCCAGACGTTACACTGGCAGTACTCTGACATGGATGTGGCTGATCATTCAATTTATAAACTGTAATGGCCAAGGGGTTTAACAAGCCCAGGGGATCAAAAGAACAATAAAGAGCCGAGATGCTGAGGAAACTCACAGTTTCAAGGGTGTCACTGCAGGATGGTTGAAAAATGCAACTGACAACTTTCAAACTCCAATCCAGCTCCCCCAGGATGCAGGTGTCTACTTGCTCCAAACTCTGCCCTTTAATTATCCCTAATGAAGGTCAACACCTAGCCTGGCAGCCACCCGCAATCCCATGGGCAAAAGCTCACTGGCTAATAGAAAAGGCGGAGCCTGGCTTTCAGGAGGCCAGGTCAGAAGCTAAAGGAGAGGACCAGGCTGCCTATCCTGGCCTGGCCAGCCCAGACCGGTTCACCACATCGGGTCACTGGGTGAATTTATGTAAGGCTGAATTTTGAGAAGAGAAGAGGAATATTCAGGAGCACAATTAGTGCAGTGGCTTTTCCCTAGCTGCCCACTACTGACTCTAACAGCCGCTACACAGAGAGGCATTTGTTCAGGTTCCTGTTGGGACCAGCCCGGGACTGAGGTCAGGAAGTCCCGAACACAGATGTGTGTACCAGGGTTCTGGGCTTACCCAAGATCGAGAGAGAAAGGGAGAGAGAGAAATCACCCCCCACCCCGGGGAGGATGGCCACACCACAATCCCTGCTCCTCCATTCTTCTCTTGGGATTTTGGGCACGCATGCACATGTGTCTAGTGTGATTTTTCAACCTGCTAGGTCTGAGACTTAAACTACAACTGGCCACGTGGAAGTCCAGTACCTTAACCCCCACTCCATCTGCTGGTCCCCTCTGCCTAGACTTTTATTTATTTATTTATTTATTTATTGGGAGGTTTTTGCTATAGGGCACGTGCACTCGCCAGAAAGACAGAGAGACAGAAAGCGAGAAATCACCCCACCCCCCAGGGGGGATGGCCACGCCGCAATCCCTTCTCCTCCATTCTCCTCTCAGGATCTTGGGCACACACGCACACGCACCCGGCGTGTGTTTAAGCCACCGGCTCTGGGACCTGCCCTGCGGTCGACTACATGGGAGTCCAGCAATGTAGCCCATTATGCCGTCTGCTGGTTCCTAGACTTTTAAAAATAGAAAAAATATATATATTTTCCAGAGAGAATTTCTCGGTCCAAAATATTAAAATCTCCAGACTTTTCTTTCAAATAGCTTTTCAGAACCGATTCTCTACCATTAAGGCTTAAGGCTGGTCAAATCTTTAGCCTTACTGTACTCAGCTTTCTAATGGGGTTTTCCCAGGATTGGCCCTGACCCTGTCATAGTACTCCAGCTGCTCCTGACACATGATAGAGGGGGACTCTTAGAAAGAACCAAGAAGCTCTGAGGGTCTTTCTTTTCTCAACGCTGCTTCAATCTTTGAGTTACATGTTGAGATGAGAGCATGGAGGAAACATTTTGGGTCTGGCTATGCTTTTCCCTTTTTACTGCCGTTTCAGTACCAGTTTATGACAAAGACAAGCAAGGTCTGCCCAGCCTCTGTGGTGCAGCCGTAGAGTACCAGACTGTGAAGCTGGAAGTCACATGCTGACTGCAGTTCAAATCCCTGGCCCAGGTGGCCTGGAAGACAGGGCAGGGGCATGCGCATGTCTAAGCCCCTGCCAGGCTGGGAGGGCTGAGGGAAGGGAATCGCGGTGTGACGGAGCCCTGTGGAGGGCGCGTCTCTCTTTCTCTCTCTTGTGCATCTGTATGTACTCTATCATCGATTGTAAAACATCGTTTTTGAAAAATGAGCACTGTCAAAGATATTACCATAGAGTAAGAAGCACATTGGGGGCCTCTAAAGAAAGGAAAAGAGCAGCCTGCCACTGTGTGTCTTTGCAGACGTGCAGGTGCATTTGGCCCTGCCCCGTGGTGCTACCACCAGCTTGACGCACTTCCTCTCCCAGACCTGCTAATATTATGGTTTGTACGATTTATGGTTTGAGGAGGAAATCTCAATATAATAGAGCTTGGGACCAGTAGTTAGCGTAATTAATGGTTATGTCGCTGGACTCCCACATAGTTGACCACGGTTCGCTTCCCGGACCGGGTGGCTTAAAACTCACGCTGGGCATGTGTGCGTGCATGCCCAAGATCCTGAGAGGAGAATGGAGGAGAAGGGATTGCAGCGTGGCCCTCCCCCCTGGGGGGTGATTTCTCACTTTCTGTCTCTTTGTCTCTCTCTGTCTGACTGGCGAGCACACGAGCCCTATAGCAAAAACTTCTTAAAAAGATAAATAAATAAATACAATAGAGCTTGTGTGGTCACATTCCAGAGACACCTTGGGAATAGTATATAATAAAGCTTTGATGCAAATCTTATTTAAATCACCTCTGTAGTCCTAATCATTTAAAAAGATCATAAAAGGATGCCTACACACACACACGCTGTATGTACATACATGTATGGCATACAGAGTAGATATTAGCTCGTCGTGAAAGTCCTGACGTGTTTTTCTATGCAAAAATGCATCATGACTTTCCCCATGACCCAATACATGTAAAGAAATCACGCCAAACTTGATTGCTGTTCATTTTTGTGGAAGGGCATGGAATCAATTATTGGTGGTAGAAGTGGAGAAGAGGAGGCAGGAGATAGTCTTTCCGGAGTGCAAATCTTAGCATTTTTAACTTAATGCTAGGAGGATGTATTCCTGTATTGTGCTCCTCCAAAGCAAAAGCCAGTACGTAGGTTACTTCCTACATAGGTTACATCACGCCATCCTCTGAGGTCTCTTTCTGCTCTGAGCTATTTGAGCACTCGCTGCAGGGCAAGACTTGGGACGGCTGTTCCTCTCTTTGATGTGACCCTACCTGAATCACAGAATTGATCTGCGCTTCCTTTTTCTCATTTGAAAAATAACAGAGTTGAGCTACTTGGACTCTAAAGTACTCCCAGCACTGACCCTGTGAGTTCTAGCCAGTGTTGGTTCCCTTCCTGCTCTGAGGCCTGGGGGAGTTCCCCTAGGAAATGGGTGACTCAGCAGGTGGGTGGAGGAAGTGCCACAGAAAAAGACCAAAATATATACTCTTACCTGAAGTCCACTACTTCCACAGCAGTAAAATAGCGACTCAGAGACGGCGAGGCACTGTACACATCCGTGAGCTGTGGTGGACAGAAACAAAACCACCACACGCGTTACTGGTGGACTGCGTTGCTTATCCCCGGACACGCATTACTGGTGGACTGCATTGCTTATCACGGGACACGCATTACTGATGGACCGCGTTGCTTATCATAGGACCAAGTGGAGCTGCTAGGTAAAGGAGATTCCCCTCTAGCTAGGAACGAACTCACCTAGCACTCTGGACCAAGAAATAGAAGGTCTGAGCCTCCTGTAAGCCAAAACTCAACACTCACTTAAATGAACCTCATTTACAAGGACCAAGTGAGGCAGGGCATTCCCAGGTTCTCTCACAAGCTGCACGGACACCTATGGTCTTTGTGGTGACAGTGATTAGACCCAAGGGCCATGAGACAGAGGGATGATTCCAGAGTGGCTGTGGGAGGACAGCAGCACAGGCCACTCAGCACCCGGGACATCACTGGCCAAGGGCTTCTTTCTCCTTTCTCCAGAGCCTCTTTGTAAGGACAGACAGCTATGCTCAGCTACAGGAATAGCAATTCCCCTGGACCAAGGGACAAAGTGGAGACTCACAAAGCCATGCGTGAAATACTGTAGACATCAAAAAATGAGTGATTCTGTGTTCCCAACAGCTAGGTTTCATGTCTTCATGGTTTGCTATATTGGATTCAGCCCTTTATTTCAAAACAGTGAAATAATGCTTAAAGCAGCGCTTACATACTATTAGATATTCCCTCCCCTCTTCCCCTGCTACTAACCGCCATCCTGAATCTGACATGAGTCCTTTCCCTGCCTATTTTCTGTCAGTTACTACCTCCTATGTAATCATAACTATATATCTCTTTTTTTTGAGAGAGAGAGAGATTTTTACTACAGGGTGAATGCATTTGCCAGAGGACAGAAACAGAGAGACAGAAAGCAAGAAGTCACCCCCCAGAGGGGATGACCACACCACAGCCCCTTCTCTTTCATTCTCCTCTCAGAATTCTGCACACATGCACATATGCCTGGTGTGAGTTTCAAGATGCCAGGTCTGGGACTCGAACCACAGTTGACTGCATGGGAGTCTAGTACCTTAACACTATGGCACCTGCTGGCCCCAACAATATATCATTTAATCTGTATTTTTATTCAAGTGAAAGGTACCATATTCTTTATAATCTTCTAAGATTTGATTTCTTTTTCACCCAAATTACATTTGAGATTTCCATACAAGGTGTATCTTGGTGAAGGTTATTTAATGTGACTCCTGCGTGGATTCCACTATGAGTATACTGGCTTCTCCATTCCCCGCTGATGCTCATGTATATTATTTCCAGTTTCCCCCTATTATGAACTAAATGTCTCTGTACATCTCTCGTTGTACATGAGTTTCCCTTGGACATTGCTGGGTCCGAGGGTGGGCTCCTCTCCAGCTGAACTGAGTCTTGCTAAACCGCTCTCCATTTTGCTCTGCCCCCTGCAGTGTACACGTGCCTCACTCTCCATATTCTTGCTAGCATTTAGTGTTACCAGACTTAAAATTTGGCCAATTTGAGGTATACAAAGTCGTGTTTCACTGTTCTAATTTATTTTGCCTTCTTTAACTCTTTGGGACATCTCCCGTCTGAATTGCCTACTAATGTCCTTTCTCTTGAGTTGTCAATCTTTTTAGCCACCTGAGCTATTGATATTACGTTGCAACATCTTTCCCCAGAGTTTACTTAGTCTTTTATTTCTTTTTTAAGAGAGGTTTTTGCTATAGGGCATGTGTGTTTGCCAGAGAGCTAGAGAGAGACAGAGAGACAGAAAGCAAGAAATCACCCCCCAGGGGGGATGGCTACACTGCAAGACCTTCTCCTCCATTCTCCTCCCGGGATCTTAGGCATGTATGCACATGTGTTCATCATGAGTTTTGAGTTGCCAGGTCCAGGATTCGAACCATGGTCGACTATGTGGGAATCCAGCCACATAACCATTATGCCATCTGCTGGTCCCTGATTAGTCTTCTTATCATGTTTCAGAAACATAAACCTTAACTTAGTAGTATTCAAGAACATGTGTCTGAACACGTCTGCATTGCATGTCTTCTAAACTTACATTTGAACGTTAAATGCCTTGCTCTGTAGCATAAATCACGAAGACTGTGCTGGGATCTGTGACACTCCTCAGCACAGACCTGGCTGGGGGTTGGACTGAGACGACACCCAGGCTTCGGAGAGCAATGCCAGGCCCACTGCTGCCCAGCCAGAATCCTCAGCCCCGACACTGTTCTGAAAAATCTCTCCAGCATTTAAGAATACCGTGCAGAGCTCGGCATCCCAGCTGCAGTTGCAAGTGCCACCACATTCAAAAAACAGCAGTCCCCTAAAGAGAGCACACCTGTCTCCCACTGGATTCTACATGGACTCTTGAGGAGGTTGGGCTTCCACAACACACTCCCACTTAAGTCCCCAGGTGACAGCCAACCTCTCAAAGACAGCGCAGAGAAGACGGGAACACCTACTACTTGCACTCCTCGTATCTCGTCATTATTGTTATGATCTTTACAAGAACCTAACAAGACGGGCATTGACCTTTCCCCTTTGTACTGATAAAGAAGCCAGCATTCCAGGCCAGATGATGATGCAGCAGTGACACAATCTCTGTGATGCGGGGCCCACATGAGAAGGTCATGGGTTCTCATTCCAAGGTCACCCTGTATGTGCCAGGCATGTGCACATGTGCCTGTGATCTGGGCTGGCTGAGGCTAGGAGTAGGTCAGGGTATGAAATCTCCGTTGAGAGGGACTGCCTCTCCCTCTCCCTCTCTCTCTCTCTCTCTCTTGGCAAACATAAATAAACTTTCTTTTATAGACAGAGTTTCACTATTGTGAGGCTCCCAAATGGGGCTATAGATATGCACCACCATTCTCAGCTCTCTGTCTTTCCCTCTTTCTCTGCATAATAGAGCTTGAGTATTAAGCATGAGAGAGAGAAAAGCACCCCCACACACACAGGGCTTGGCTGTGCTACAGTCTCCTTTCTCCAGTCTTCCAACTGGCTAGGATCCTGGGTATGTGCCAATGCACCCAGCATGCTTTTCAGGCCAACCAGGACAGGGACTCAAGCTGTGGTCTGCATGTGGCTTCCAGGTCCACAGTTCAATACACAATCAGCTGTGCCACAAAGGCTAGGCCAAATATGTAAAGTTAAAAAAAAAAAAAAAGGAAGGAAAGAAATGAGAAAGAACCCAAGAGGTTAAAAAATCATCCCAAGATCACTCTGCTAGTACACAGGGAAGCCAGAATTCAACCTTAGGTGTCAGCGACACTAAAACCCAGTCTGTTCCCATTTTACCACACTACTCTATGAAGATGAAACAATTAAGGCAACTGTCTCCTTCTGAATGTCCAGAAGGAAAGAAAAAGTGATTAAAAAAAAAAACATTCATTAAAAGAAAAGTGACTAGGTCATCTTGAGTTCCAGTGTAAAATAATATTGCTAATAGACTGATGGAAAACCCAGGGACCATGAATGCAGTTTTCTTTTTTTTTTATTTAACTTTTATATTTTAATTTAAATTTGTTTATTTACATTCCTTCACTGTACATCATTACAGCATACAAAATGAGAGGTTCCATCCAGAATACACTGTATATTGGCTCAATCAGGCACATCAACATACGTGTTATCATCAACAAATAATTATTTTTCATAGGGATATTCAGACTGATAGGGAGGAGCAGGAAGATACTGTGAAGGAGAGTTCTTTTCAATAAATAATAACATCTCTCCTTTTTAATTGAGTTTCCCGGGGCAGGGAGTATGTCTGTCTTTCTTCCAGCTTTCTCTGTTTCCTCCTCTCCTCCCTCACTGTATTAATCCTTAAAGTCTAGCACTATGTTTTGGCTCTCTGCAAAATTTAAAAAAATAATAATTTAAAGAATTATTTACTTATTTTATTTATTATTATTGATGTTCTCTAATTTGACCAGAGACAGAGAGGAAGAGAGAGAAAGCAAGCTGCCAGATCCAGGACCCAAACCACAGTTGGCCATATGAGAGTCTAGTGCCCCAACCACCACACCACCTGCCAGCCCCTCAAGTTAAAATTTTAAGTTAGAAGATGGAATAGAGTCCAACTTTGTGCTGCAGAAGTAAGTAATGTGTTGCTTGAGAGCGGCCAGATCCCACACAGTGACTACGGTTCTAATCCCCAGGCTGATCATCCTGAAACACACTGGGCACCCGTGTGAGTGCCCAAGATCCCACAGCTGGAGGACTGCAGGAGGGGGCTGCAGTGTGGCAGGACGTGGGGAATGCTCCTCTCTCTCACCCTCACGTGTCATGTATGCACTCAGTCATGAGTCAAGAAAAAGAATACGGAATAGTAGACCAGGTCGCTTTTAGTGAGCACTCTAAGATTCTTTCTGCTAGCATGGTCCCCTGCTCTATTTAGGACAAATTCACATTGGGGGAGTTATCCAAATAGCTACACTGTCCACTTTGGGTCCTGAGGGGTGAAACAAGGCCACTTTTCCACTTGCCCTGGCGGCTCCCATGCTGTGCCTATGAGACTTGCTACAACTGAGCTGGGAGCCCAGAGAGCTGATGAGGGGACTCTGACACAGTGACTGAGTAGAAAGCAGCTTCCAGAGTAGGAAGATGCCTTCCAAGGTTAGCAGAGGTGTCATTGCTAACTCAGAAACTGAGCACAGGTACACCACGTAACTTACACACTGGCTTAAACAGAGCAACAGACCCAGTCTCGAAGGAAACCAGCCGTGAGCTCTGAGAGGAGCTGGGAAAACTGTGTCTAGAGAAGCAAGGTGAAGGGCATAATGCTCCCAAACTGTGACCCGTATTTGGTCTCTGCCCTCGACTCCTGGCACAGAATGCCTAAAGGCCTTGTAATGTCCTGACTGATAGTGGGGCCGGGTGCATCTTTTATCACAATATTTGGTCTCTGACTCCAACTCCTGGCACAGGGCCGCTCCTGAATCCCTTGGAGTTTTCTAGGGCATAGGCCTATCTTTTGTTCTAATGAGGTGACTCTTGGTGCCTTCACAGTGAGGACTGGTCACCAAAACGACCAAACCATGGTAAGAAGCTTGGAGTACTCATCCTCTTGGGAGTGGAGGGAGTTGGGGAGGAAGCTATTGATCGTGTCTACCCATGAAGCCTACACAAAGGTCCCTAGAGGATGGAGTTCAGAGAATTCTGGGTTAATGAATGTTTGGGGAAGTATACCCCGAGTGGGCATGAAAGCCCTGTACCCCTTCACACATACCTCGTCCTGTATACCTCGTCCCCTGGCTGTCCATCCATATCTTTTGCAATATCCTTTTTAATAAACTGATAGAGATGAGTATTTCCCTGAATTCTACAATCCATTCTGGCACATGATCAAACCCAAGCATGGGAACCTCTAATTCATAGCTGGCTGGTCAGGAGCACAAGTCGCAGCCTGACCTTGTGACTGACATCTGAATGGTAGGACACCCAGTTAATGCTGGAGAACTGATTGTTGTGGGGAATGAAAACCCACACATTTGGCCACAGACGTGTCTGTGCTCAGTGTGAGTACAGAGAAAAACAGTTAGGTTTTTCCATGCAAATGCTTACTCCCATGTACCTTCCATAGTCAGAAACTTATGAAACTTAGCTTAATGCCAAAAGAAAGGAAGTTGCTGACCTGCCGATACTATAGTAATATCTTTAAGTCTCTAGACTTTATTCCTGAGTGCATTGGGTGAGGAGTGGGGGTGAGGGATGGGAGTCTTTCAGCTCACTCTGCCTTCATTTTATCATCTCTAAGTTAGGTAATTCTAGGGGCCAGCAAGTGGCATGGGTAGTTAAGGTGCTGGAATCCCACATGACCAACCATGGTTTGAATCCCGGACCTAGCAGCTTGCTTTTTCACTTTCCATCTTTGTCTCTCTCTGGTCAAATTAAAAAAATAATAGGTATGAATAAAATCAAAGACAATAATTCTTAAAAAAATAAACTAGGAGGACCAGCAGATGGTGTACTGGTTATGTCATTGGACTCCCACATGGCCAACCGTGGTTCAAGTCCTGGAGAGGCTTGAAACTCACAACAGGTACATGTGTGTGCATGTCTAAAATCCTGACAGGGGAATAGAGGAGAAGGGATTGCGGTGTGGCCATTCCACCTGGGGAGGGAAGGGGGTGTAGATTTCTTGCTTTATGGCCATCTGCCCTGGGGGATGATTTATTTTCTTTCCCTCTGTCTCTCCAGTGAGCACATGTGCCCTATAGCAAAAATCTCTCTTAAAAAATAATAATAATAATAAGGAATTAAATTCTAAAAATAAAGCAAAAAATGTTTATACTGGGTAGAACTTCTTTATATGTAATCTCCTTTGCACCTGTGAGGCATACAGGAAATATGCATTCCATTTATCAGAAAAGGACCTGACTCAAAGGTCTGTGTACCTGCCTAGGTATCACTGCCACTCCTTCTTCTTTGCCACTGCACGGTGGTGAGCTAAAAATACCTGGAGAATTGTTCATGCCTGTCTCTGTGCAAGAGATAAGACTCTAAAATGAAAGACGAACACCTATTTCCCCTTTGACACAGAAAGCCCGGTCTGTAACAGGTGATGTGTGTAGATGCTGACTCATTTCATTTCTACTCAGCAAATACAAAACTTCACAAAAAGGGCAACCAAGAGGCTGGGCCAGCAAGTGGCACGGAGATTAAAGCTGCTGGGTCCCGTGTGGTCAACTGCACAGTTTGAGGCTGATAGACAGTGTGGTGGTTGAGGTGCTGGACAGGACTCCCACATGGCCAACCACAGCGTGAGTCCTGGATGGACCTGGTGGCTTACTTTTCCCTCTCTCTTCCTCTCTCTCTCTTTCTGGTCAAATTAAAAAACAACATTAATAAATAAAGTTAAATAATTCTAAAAATGTTTTTTAAAAAAGAAGAGAAAAGACCAGCACAGCACACTAGGCATGTCCAGGCCCAAAATTCTGAGAGGAGAATAGAGGAGAAGAGATTGCAGCATGGCCACCCCCCTGGGGCAAGATTTCTCTTCCCTCTCTCTGGCAAATGCACACACCCTATGATAGAAACCTGAAAAAAAAAAATAAATAAATAATGTAGTCACGTCTTGTTCATCATGACTGGGACATGACGTAGATGAAGTTACTTCTTTCAGGAACTGTAGTAGACATCAAATGAAAGCCAGATAAAGAGGACGTATCCCATCCAGTCTGTCCGTGGCAGAGAAGTCTAACAAATGGCAGGCTGGTCTTGCTTGGATTTTCTTACCTAAAACTCTGTCTGGCCACCAACCACCCGTCTTTGTCAGGATGACCAGGACTGCCCCAGCCAACTCTCAGGGTCTGGCTGTGGAACCCCATATTATAGAGGCTTGTTCCCTGTACTTCCCACCGGTGAATCATGCCACTATCCACCCACCCAGGAGCCCACCCAGGAGCCCAGCCGTGTTCTCCGCCCCCACCTTCCAACCTGTCATCACGTCCTGCTGAGTGAGAGTACCTCTGACATCTCACCCGAATGTTACCCCCCAGCCCTGCCCTAGTTCAAGCCCCCATCATTTCTCACCAGGATTAGTCCACTACCATCTAATGGATCTTTTCTTCCAGTTTTTTTCCTATCATCACATGGAAAGGCTAAATTGAAAATATAACCATGTCAATCTAGATTAAGTCTTTTAGTGCCTGGGCCAGACAGGTGGCATGGTGGTTAAGGTGGCTAGATCCTACATGGCTGATGGCATGGTTCAAGTCCCAGAGGTGGCAGCTTGAGAAACGTGCTGAGTGCATGTCATGTATGCCCAAAATTGCAAAAGGGGAGTAGACTGTGGCACGGTCATCGCCCAGGAGGTGGAGGCGAGCTTTTACCCTTTCTCTCTCGATCTCTCTCTCTCTGGAGCACACATGCCTATTGAGTCCTGGACCTGGTGGCCTACTCCCCTTCTCTCTCCCTCTCTCTCTCTTTCTGGTCAAATTAAAAAGTAACAACATTAATAAATAAAATAATTATTTATATATATGTGTGTATATATATATGTATATAAAATTGGGGGGCTTACCAAAGAGTGGGAAAACCTGTGCCTTGACCCCCACCCTCCTCTTCTGCATCACCTGCAAGTCCTCACCACACAGCATGCAAAGGCCACAGCACACTACATAGCTGATCCCCTAATGTCCCATGCTCTTTTATCTAGAACATTCCTACCTCATAGTTCAAAACTAACCTTGAGTATCACCTCCTTCAAGAGGCCCTCCATGCTCTCATCGCACGAAGGCACTAGTCCCTCCTTTTGGTTGTAAAGCAAACCGTATATATCTCAGTATTGCACTGGTTTATGACTATCTATGTAACCGCTTGCTTTGCTTGGACGGTAAGCCCATCAAGGAAACATTTTCCATGGTCCTGGCACTTGGTATGTTGGCTGGTATTCCTCAGACTGTCGATGAATACTACAGGCTGAATCAAATTAAGGACAAAGTGGGGCCAGCAGGTGACGTAGTGGCCAAGGTGTAAAAAAAGTTCAACATCACTAACCCAGAGATATTTCCTAAAACGAGACGCACAAATAGCCAACAGATACTTGTAAACAGGTATGTGGGAAAACATGAGGCCGGAGTGAGAAAACAGACTACGTCAAGCTGCATGTGGCTGGGGGCCAGGCTTTCCCCTCTGGTTCTGTAATAGCAAAAACACATTCATAGGGAGCAGTTTCTATTAGACAAAGAATTCAAGATCCAAGCTACTGAACTGCAGTTCTTTGCCAACTGTTCTAGAAGAACCCATACTCCAATATAAAGAACTCAGTAAACAGGCCCAGCGTCAGTGGCACATACTGCTAAGATGCTGTGTTCTGTAGGCCAGAACCAGGAGTTCAGTTCCCAGCACAACCTAAGGCCAGTGTGATGAGGTATATCTGCAACCCCAGTGACATGAGGAGACCGAGGCAGGAGGATCAGAACACATCTTTAAAAAAAAAAAAAAGAAGAAGAAAAGGCTTTTTTGAGAGATATTTTTGCTGTAGGGTGCATGTACTCTCTGGAGAGACAGAGACAGAGAGAAAGCAAGAAATCACCCCCCAAGGAGATGGCCATGCCACAATCCCTTCTTCTCCATTCTTCTCTCAGGATTTTGGCCATGCGCACACACGTGCCTGGTGTGAGTTTCAAGCTGCTGGATCCGGGACTCAAATCACGGTCAACTATGTGGGAGTCCAGTAATAAAACCATTACACCATCTGCTGGTCCCAGGGTAAAGGCCTTTAGAGAACAGATATTTCCCAAAAGAAGGCACACAAATAGCCAACAGATTTATGAAAACAGGTACATGAAGAAAAAAGAAAAGTTCAACATCACTAGCCCAGCAAGCTTGAGGCTGGCCTGGGCAACATGGTAAGACCCTGTGGAAAAAACTGTGCGCCTGCAGTCGTGGTGGGGAGGCTTAGGCAGGTGGACCACAATGCAAGACCCTGCGTCTTATAAAAACAGAAAGCTCCACAAGCAATGCGTAAGGCATAATTACCCTTTTAGTGAGCAGATGAAGTAAGCCCTCTTCAGTAACACACTCCTCTGGAATCTTCAACATGACCAAGAATGTTTTATTGGACGATAATTCAAGTATTTCATTTTCATCTTCATCAATATAAGTTACTAAAGAGAGTGGGGGAGGTAGAAATAAGAAATAAAAGTGAACACCTGCACAAAATGATCAACTCATTTGTCCTGTTGGCTGCTGTACTTAAATATAACAATGAGCAATAATGCAGGCTGGATACAGTCAGCAAGTAAAAGTTGAGCACCCCTAATCCAAAAATCTAAAGTCCAAAATGTTCCAAAATCTGAAACTTTTTGAGTGCGAAACATAACACAAGCGGGAGATTTCACTCCTACCTGAATGTGATGGGTCACTGTCAGAATGCTGGAATATAGAAATATTGTATAAAGTTATTTTTAGGCAGAGCCAGTAAATGGCACGGTGGTTAAGGCTGACCACAGTTTGAGTCTTGGATCTGGCAGCTTGAAACTCATGCCAAGTGTGTGCATGCATGCCCAAAATCCTGAGAGGAGAATGGAGAAGGGATTGTGGTGTGGCCATCACCCCAGGGGCTGATTTCACACTTTCCCTCTCTGTGTCTCTCTCCAGTGAGCACACATACACTATGACCAAAACCTAAAAAGAAAAGAAATTATTTTCAAGCTATGTGTATAAGCTATATATAAAACATAAAACGAATTTCATCTTTTAAAATTGGGTCACCTTGGCCAGCAGTTAGCGTAACGGCTATGTCACTGGACTCCCATGTAGTCGACCGGTTCACGTCCCGGCCCTGGTGGCTGAAAACTCATGCTGGGTGTGTGTGCATGCGTGCCCAAGATCCCGAGAGGAGAATGGAGAAGAAAGGATTACGGCGTGGCCATCCCCCCTAGGGGATTTCTCACTTTCTGTCTCTCTCTGTCTGTCTGGCAAGCACATGTGCCCTGTAGCGAAAATCTCTCAAAAAAAAAAAAAAAATTGGGTCACCTCCCCAGCATATCTCACTATATACATGCAATAGTCCAAAATCTGAAAGAAACCTGAAATGTGTAACAGTTGTAATTATAAGCATTTCAGATAAAGAAACCTCAAACTATTTAAGAATAAATGCTTTCTCCACTTGGTAAAACAAAATAGAACTCAAGCTGCTCTTCTCCATCAGGGTAGAAGTCTTTCTTATTTTATGCCAAAGGGACCTCCAATTCTATTGAACACAGACTGAGGGAAGGGCAAGAGGCAGAGAGTGAGCAGTACCTGAAATTACATGTTAAACTGAGCATGCAGCTGAGCTAGGGACACGGGTGTCAGGGCAGGCTCTGTGAGATGGTAGGAGGCACGGGTGATGGGGGTAGGACAGACTGGAGTAAGCGACTTTACTGCCTCACTTTCCAGGTCCATGCTGCTGCAGACAATGATGAGGGGCTGGGGTGGTGCAGAGGGTGTCGTGCAGTGGCAATGCAGTGGAGCCCCGTGGGAAAGAGCCTGACGTGGCATCCGGGACCTCCCTGAGCGAGCTGGGCATGTGTGCACAAGCCTGTGATCAGAGCCAGTGAGGCTGGGGTAGATCACAGTGTGGGAACCCAGGTGAAGGTGCCCACGCTTGTGTGTCTCTTTCTCATGGGAGAAATAACCTTAAAACAAAACAAAACACAGAAGACCGTGATGAGCAGGTGACATCATCGAGAAGAGACGTGGGACCAGAAAATGAGCGTGTGAGCCCTAGAACTGAAGCTTGCCCAGGAAGACAGGGGAAGGGAGTGAGGCCATCAGCAGAGGAATGTTGACACACACTGTTTGCAGAAGGGATGCCAAACTGCTCGGAGGCCCAGGCTGTGCAGGAATTAGTTCCCAGGACAATGAGTTCTGTGTGCTGTGTGTGTTCTAATGACTGCTAGCTAATTGTTTTTTAAGCAGGTGAAGCTAAAGGAAAACCGCAGGAAGTCAGGAGCAAGGAGCCAGAAGCCAACGTTAGTGAGCTAATTGTGCTCCCTGGCTCCAGGCCAGCCTCAGCTGCTCACACACAAGGGACCCCCTCTCTGGTTCTGAGAAAGGCATGAGTGAGAACAACCCGTTGCTCACGTTGCCATGGACTTTTCTCTTGGAATCTGTGCTTTAAACACACATGACTGGCCTCTTTTACTTCTAAAGGACATAGTGGAATACATTCCCTGCTTGTGGCGAAAGTCCAGGTGAAAAGAAATAAGAATCCTGGTATTTATTTCCCTGAAGAGGTTCAGAAATGTGAGGCATTAGATAGGAATGTGCATAAACGAATCAGCATAGCAGGGCTGAGGTCACTTATTCAGAGAGGCCTGTTCAAGGTTGGCCCCTGGCTGGTGTCTGGGAACTGGGGTTTTGGAGGGGTTCTCACCATTTCCTTATGAGAGTGGCTTATGATGCCTCTGCTGTTTGTACAAACAATATGGCCAACATCTTTCTTTCTGGGACTCTGGAATTTCCGTACATGCTAGGTGGAAGCTCCCGTATGATAGGCCTCCATTAAAAACTGCATGGTGACATGGCAGTTGCACAATACTCCGTGATGCTGAAGCCGTATGGGAATGTCCTAGATTCACGTCCTGAGGTCTCCCTGTACGTGCTGTGCATGTAGCCCGTGATGCTGGCTGAGGCTAGGGGTGGATGGTGACATGATGACTCTGCTGGGGTGGCCTCTCTCGCTCTCTGTCTGCTTCTCACTCTCATGGAAAAAATAAACACACACACACACACACACACACACCTGGGCCCTGAATCTCTAACGACCTGCAGGAATTGAGTGAGCCCCGCACAACTCCTTTTGGAGAAGGCACTTACAAGCTTGTACCTGGTTTCTTCTGGGTTTTGCTGTAATAAATCCTCTTACGTAATGTATTCTTTTTCTGCAATAAATACTAATCATCAGTATGATTCTATGCTAGGTCCTACGAGTTCTCCTAATAAATAACTGAATGAAGGAGTGATCGTGGGGATCCCAGATGCAGAAATTACCCCTTTATCCTTACTCGTTGTAAGTTATTACATTAGTTTGCCTGATCATAAAAATTATGCCCTCATAGCAGAAAACTTGCAAAGTATAGGAAATTATAACAAATCAAAAGAAAAAAAAAAAGAATAATCTCTTTTTTTTTTTTTTGGAGAAGTTTTTGCTATAGGGTGCATAAACTCACCAGAGAGACAGAAAATGAGATATCACCCCCGGGGGGATGGCCACACAGCAATCCCTTCTCCTCAATTCTCCTTTCAGGATTTTGGGAACACATGCACACATGCCCAGCGTGAGTTTAAGCCACCAGGTCCGGGACTCAAACCACAGTCAACTACATGGGAGTCCAGCGACATAGCCATTATGCCAACTGCTGGTCCCTCGAATAATCCTTTAATCAAAAGTTCTATTTTTCATATTATACACTTGTCCTAATAAGGGTCATAAGTATCCTGCTTTCTGTTGTTGCTGTTGTTGTTTACTTGTCTTGAATCTTCTGTTAACATAACAAAAGTCATTCTCTATATGCTTAAAAATCCTTGCAAAGATTATTATTTTGTTTCTAATTTTATCAAAGGGCTGTGTACTCACCAGAGACAAAGGAAAAGCAAGAAAGCACCTCCCTCCCATAGGAATTGGTCATGCTGCAGTCCCTTCTCCATTTCTCTCTCCTTTTGGGATTTTGGGCACACGTGTACATGTGTTTGGCATGTTTTTCAAGCCACCAGCTCTGGATCACCAACCACGTGGTCAGTCATGTGGTCACTAACCATGTGGTCAGGCTATTTTAACAACTTCCTAGTGTTGTTAAAGTAACCTGTTAATAACAGGCTCACCATTTTCTTAAATCTGACATTTGTTGCTTTCTAAACAAGCGATCTCAGCCCTGCTATGCTAATTCATAAATACTGCTTATAAATAAAGCTGCAATGGGCATCTTTGAGCTCTACATCCATTATGCAGGTTTCCATAGTAGGTATCAATGCCTCAAAAAAAGAAAAGGAAAGGCTGGAGTATATGGGGTTCAAATAACTCCTCCATTCAAGGGCACTGAAAAAGACACCAAGTTCAAAAGGTCTCTGATCATAGCTCTGATGACATTCACTTAGCATTTATCAATAATAATTACATAGATTCCAGTCAGACACCCAGTCAGGAGAGATTTTATACCACTACTGAGACTTACTTTAGACAGCACTTTCTATGTAGAGAAATTGGGTTAAAAATAATAACAGGGGTCGGCGTGTGGTGTGGTGGTTTAGGGTGCTGACCTCCCACATGGCTGACCACAGTTCAAGTCCAGACCTGGTGGCTTGCTTTCTCACTTTCCCTTTCTCTCCATCCCTCTCTGGTCAAATTAAAATAAATAAATAAAATAAATAAAGTTCAATGAAATAATTATTAAAAAAAATAATAATAATGATAATAACAGGGACAACGTGGCCTGGAGGTTAAGGGAGCTGGACTCACATGGCTGACTATATGGTTGGAGTCCCAGACCTGGTGGCCTAGAAACACATACCTGGCACACATGTGTGCAGGTCCAAAATCCTGAAAAGAAAAGCAAAAGAGGAGAAAGGACTGCAGCATGACCATACCCCATGGAGGGTGATTTCTCGCTTTTCTTCTCTGTCTCTCTGGTGAGTCCACACACCCTCTGGCAAGTGAATAAATATATTAATAAATAACAAAAACAGACAAGGTACACTGGAGGAATATAAAAATAGCACTTCAGGGACCAGCAGTTGGCATAATGGCTATGTCACTGGACTTCCATGTAGTTGACTGCGGTTCAAGTCCCGAACCTGGTGGCTTAAACTCACACCAGGCGCATGTGCGTGTGTGCCCAAAATCCCAAGAGGAGAATGGAGGAGAAGGGGAAACCGGTGTGGCTATCCCCCCTAGGGGATGATTGCTTGCTTTCTTTTCTGTCTCTCTCTGGCTTTCTGGTGAGAGCACATGCCCTATAGCAAAAATCTCTCCAAAAGACACAGCACTTTGGCTGGAACATAAAAAATAAAGCTGGAGAGGGAGGCCTTAAATTCCAGACGCCTTCAGGAGGTAACAGAGGATTGCTACGTGTCTCCTAGGAAGGAGGTAGAGACTGTCATATGTTAGAGGTCAACCTGGTGA